CTCCATAGAAAACTTGCTCGAGTCCGAGTCCGAGTCCAAGTCAGAGCGTCAATGTACAAGTCGAGTCCGAGTCATCATGGGGGGAAAAATTCACGAGTCCGAGTCCGAGTCCAAGTCAGCGTACGCGATAATTCACGAGTCCGAGTCCGAGTCCAAGTCATCGTGTGCGAGAATTCACGAGTCCGAGTCGCGTCAATCAGTGCGCGAGTCCGAGTCGAGTCACGAGTCCCGAAAATCGGCACTCGAGTCCGACTCGAGTACTCCATCTCTGGATCCTACACATCCACTGGACGTGGATTCTAAAAGTACAATATACACTTCTAGCTAGAAATCGAACCAAAAAGCATTTTAATGGCCAAACTATCCTACAATTTAGGATTTTCCAGAGAGGGTTATTTGTGAATATACGACCCTCCGGAGCGTTTGCAATCAACGGGAGCACTAGAGGTCGAAAACTTTAAAACGTGATTATAGGTCGTAATAAGCGCTTGAACAATCGACCTATTTGGTCGTAATAAGCGCTTGAACAATCGACCTATTTGGTCGTATGAGTTGGAGGACTTGTTGGTATGTTCAAAGACAACTTTTAAGACGGCAGGATAGCCATAATAGAGCCATAAAATGCGTGTTTTCTAAATGGAGATTGGCTAAGCTACGTTGTATATGCTCCGACCGTCCACACTCACAACAACAGCCTATACATACATAAATAAACCAGCGACTGTATTCGCCATGACACAGACAGTCTGTGGTTTGTACTTGTTTAACCTTTGTCTAGTTTCTGAACAGATATGAGGAGCTGTGAGCTCTGAGTGCTAACAGCTAACGGCTGTGTTGTTTTTCTGGGGTTCTCATTGAAGATGACGTCACGGCTCCGCCTACACTGCGTTACTATAGATACTACCCCAGTTCCTAAACTGTAATGGAAATGCGCCATAAAGTGAGCCAGTCCTAACGAGGCCTAGCCATACCGAGCGAGGCAGAGCGAGGCCGTGTAGTGGAAATGCGCCAAGACAACTCAAAATGCCTGCTGTTTAAAATACCTATTGTACTGAAAATGACTACTGTATATAAATTCCTGATTTCCAAAAGTGTATACTCCCACAGGTCTTTTCAGTTTACCACAAATTGTATTACATTAATAATATATTAAAAGACACTCCAACCAGTAGTCACCTCTAAAGCCAGACACTGAAACACTGAGTATCTCTAAAACACACTATTTGCATCCATTTTCTAAACTCTGACATTAAAAGTAGGGTAGGTAAGAATGGAGAAACCAGCTCGAGTGCGCTAGAATTTGAAAGTACACAGCCGAAAAAAATCTGCCCCTTCCTTCAGACTTCCTTAGCCTTCCTTAGACTTCCTTAGACTTAGCCGGGCCGGCTAAAATAATTGGTCGTGCTTTTTACAGCGCCACGGCTTCCACAGATGAATTTTTTTTATGTATTTATTGTCAAAGCATTTCATATATTCATTGCTATCGGGATGTTAAGAGCATTCCATGGAATATAACAAAAAGTGTTTCTGAAGTAAATTACCTACCCCACCTTTAAGCTACACAAGTTTAACATTGTGTTGTTGTTTCTTTTGTTCACCAACAGCAGTGAAGGCCCTCATCAGAGCAAACCTATACATTTTCACTTATAGAGACATCCTCTCAGGTATCTGTTTGTTCGATTTGAGTTGGTTTTGCAGTGCCTTTACTGGTAGGACATTTTACACATTGATAATGTCTGCAATAATCTATTTATTTCTACCTTTGAGGACCACAGCACAGCTCCACCATACCTCAATCTGAGAAGCTTAATCAGCAGGTAAAGTGGAAACACCTGTGTGGGGGTGCTGGGTCTCTAGTAACCACCCACTCTTTCAGCCCAACTTTGACCCTTTAATAGCCATTCTCCCTTTTTTGGACATGTTTTTTTTTTTTTAAATGAAAACTTGTTTTTATCATTACTTTCTCAAAATTAGACAAATAGTTTTCAAGGATTTATTACATTTAGGATTTGGGTGGCAAAATTACCCATTAACCAAAATGATCAGTACACATAACACATGCTCAAGATTATTGATAGTTCCAGCATCATAGGAAGAGAGTGTGTGGTAAAAGGTTAATTAGTTTAATGAAGCAGTTCTTCCTGCTCGGTGACATTAAACAAAATGTATCTGTGAATGTCATTAAAAAAAAGAATTTTTCCGTCACGACATATTCAGTTTTTAATGCCATAGTTTTCCTCAGTTTCCCCTTGGTGAGATAGGGAAAAGAGGGTATTTATTTGGGACTTGATACAGTCAGATACTCTCCATACAGGAACTTGAATTGATGCCAGGAGAGAAAAGTTGGACATGTGCATCCTTTGTAGCAGTATTATGGATCATGAGTGAACAGAAAGAAAGTTGTTTTTTCCTTTGCAACAACAAGCTAAAAGTTTTAATGACAACAGCAGTTTGGAAACTTTGATACATTTCATCCCCCAATGGCCGTGGATCAATTTTCTCTTGAAGATCCTGTTCTGTCTCACGCCTCCTTCATTTCATGCAGCTTCCTGTCCCTTACCAAGGGAAAAGTTGCTCAATAACACAACAGTACATCTCATTTCTGTGACACTGCATTTCCTGGCCCGACAGTCCGTTTGCATTCTCTCAACCTGACATTTCACTTCTACGGCTTTGATGACATTACACCATGGACCACTACATCAATCCCCTTTATTCAGTGGATCCTGCATCCTTGTACCCATTGACCAGTTGTGTATATGTATGTTAGTGAAGAGCAGACTCAAAGTGAGAGATGCTTCTTATCTTAAAGTTAGTAGTTGGACGCATTGGAAATCGTTTAACGGAAGCAGCCATATCTCCAATAAAACACATTTGAATTTATTTTCAACGCACAGGTGTAGGCGCAAAAATCAATTCTAGACCACATGAGCAGAACAATTTTGTTTAAACTGTCTCCAGAGTTTTAAAAATGTGTGCAGCAAGATTTGTAGCAGCTTTTATTCAGACGTAGCCTACATAGGGGAAAACGGTGATCACGGACAGACAGTTCAGCTCAGGGGGCTCAACGCCGATAAATCATGTCTAGACAAGTAAAGTCAACAGAGGCATACTGTGGCTGCTACACCTGTCCTCCCACTTCTCAGGAAAAGTCAGTTCAGATTATACATTTACTTCCACATCATTCACAATTACAGGAGAAGACACATGAAACTTTTAAGATTTTTAAAGACAGCTACGTGCAGTGAAGTGTTTGCGTATGTGCTTGCTGCTCTGCCTCATTCTGGTGTATGCATCAGGAAGATACATCATTCATTAACTCCAAACCCCCTGACTGGTGCAGGATAGTCATCCCCACCAGTGTAAATTCTTAACATGTGACACGTTGTCAATACAGTAGTACAGACCACTGTCAAGGACTATAATGAAAGTTGCTTAGGAGGATCAAGAAAGAGAAAGGAAAATAGGTTAAAAGACGGAGCGCTGGACGTCAGATAAATCACCAGAAGAAGGCAGAGAGGAAGTAAACAATAACAGGAACACGGAATGGGCTCTGTAGTTTGTTTAGTATATGGCCGTGTAATAAGCGGGATAATGTGCAGCGAGGCGGTCATTATGGGGAAAAGAACACCCGACAGTCTGATCAGGGAACCCGACGCGAAGCGGAGTGATCTTGATGAGCCTGAAGGGTAAACACCAGGTTTACTAATCTACCCGCACAATTTTTCTCTGGTGTCGGAATGTCTTGCGATGTTGGTAAATTCTTAAAAAACAAAACACCATTTAATTTCGGATTAAAATGTGTTGTAACTGCGTTACTGAGAATTGTAACGGGTAGTAAATTAACCAAATTTCATTAGTAATGCGTTACATTACTTCGTTACAGCAAAAAGTAATACATTACTGTAACTCTGTTACTTTTGTAACACGTTACACCCAACACTGATCCCCACACAACACATGGCCCTATTTTTCTCCAGCAGGAACACATACAGCTTGTCAGCGCCTGTTATAAAGAGCTATATGTTTACTTATAGCTGTAGAGCAGCTGGCAAGTTTAGTTTTTCTAGAAAACAAGCACAATAGGGACTGAGTCATGGCTAAGTGTGGTGGCCACAAAGCCTCAGAAACGGAAAAAATGAAGACGAGAGCAACTGGACTTGTTCTCATCTCTGTTTCTAATGAATGTATCCTTGGATACATGCCTGAGGAGTTGCATCAGATGACTCAGAATAACCTTAAAGGGGTTTTCCAGAGATTAAGTGTAGCACTTCCATAAAGTTTGTGGAACTTGCAAGAGACGTTTAAACAACCTTTCAAGCTAGTGGCTCAGTGGTGCTTGATGTGAACATCAGCATAATGACATACTGAATAATTACAAGCAGGTGGCATGTTTACCATGTTTATCATTTAAGTTAACCTTCAGTTCACTTACAGCTGGAGCTGATTTTAATTAGTTTGGCAGTTTATAGCGCCAGATGAAGAGGTTGACGATCACCAAAGTAATAAGAATGACTGATTGGCAATCCAGCCAATGGTTGTTGAGACACTGTCAACCAAATTGTGGTGCTACACGAAAAGTCAAGGAAGCAAAAAATCATTGGAGTCCATCCTTTGCAGCATGAATGTCCATACAAAATGATATTGCAGTAGTTGTTGTTTAGATATCATTGTTTTTACCAAAATGGTGAACTAACTGACAAACATGACTCTACAGTAGCATGGCTAAAACTTTTAGTCCCTGAAGATCCATAAACATTGCAGGCTATCGCCATAATGCATGTCAATATTTTTGCCTGTTAAAAATGCACGTTTAATCTCAATGCTCCCAATTTAAAATGCAGTCTTTCTGTTCAAGCCCCAAAACCCACGCTGATAACATCCCCATGACATCCTTTTGCTTATTTTCTCAAGTGCCCTTTAAATAAAGAGCTAGCTTTTTTTTAAACATATGCTAATTATACCAATCAAATCAAAATGTACATTTCAAAAGCCACTGCTATAATCAAACAGAGTTTAATGGATGAAAAGTGATTAAATACAGATTATTACACAACCCCAGAGTGTGTATGTGCATGAAACTTGTGTGAGTCTCGTATGTACCAGTAAAGTGTTGTAGAATGGAAAAAGGCATGCCGAGTAAATGATGTATAACCAGGCAAATGTATACATGTTGTCAATATTCGGCAGATATCCTGTTCTGTATGTACAAAACATGTTTTCTTAGTAATAATTGTTTCCCATCAACATATGCAGTCACAAAACCTGGTAAACTGGTTGTTACAAATGTTCAACATAATTGGGGCGATGTTGACATTTGTAAAAAAGTGTTCAGTGTAATAAGTGCTTTGGTTTGAACCAATGTGTTGCTTCTAAGACTTCATTTACAGTTACCTTATGTTGGTGTGCTCTCAACAAGGAGTCCTCTGTAGGATTACTGCATCATGAAATGTTTCCTGTGTAGATTTTCATTGAAGGAAAACATTACAGGACTTAAGGAAAACGGTGTCCTGTGTTTGTTTACATCCTTTGAAGAGACTGCTTATTTCTTTTCATAGGAGATGAGTCATTTTCAATTTCTGTACAGTAAAAGTGAGGTAAACTCTTGCAATCACAACATCTCAGGAGTGGGATAATTTGTATTTCAGACAAATCATACTGACTGTTTATGCCAACACACATGAAAACATCCGGACGACTACATCACAGATAATGGGGGGATTCATTGCCAATAGAGTATTATACTGTACATTCATGGCTCAATATGGTGCCAGTCTTTTAGCTAAAGTATGCAAACATTTACAACTTACACAATGTTTGTTAAGGTAGACAACTTGACTCAACTTAAAAAGCGTAGAAGTAAAAAAAACTAAAACCTTGTTGATCGCACCACATGTCGGAGCAAAACATATTTTGAGCTCTGCCGCCTGCTGACTGGAAACTGGAGCTAAATGGACCTGATAGAGTGTCAATACATCATTACCAATATCCCCATCATCATCTTCATCATCAACAGCAGTCATTCTTTTCGTCTTCCTCGTCTCCTTTTTCTTCCGACAATCCATTGAAACCAGCTCAACAAACTGAATCACACTCTAAGACATAATAACTGAGCAAAACGAAATAAAGAAAAATTGTCACTGTCAAATTTTGCTCCTCGCGGTCAAAGAAAATGTTGTCCATTCATTCCCCAAAATGTCTTTTTCATTTCATTTTTTTGGCAAAGTTACGTAACACCCCCCTCCCCACCAAGCCCCTTTTTGTCCGTCCCGTGGTTCCGCCCTCCTCTACCCTTCAGAGTCTGACTGGAGTAGGCGACGGTCCATCATCGCTGAAGCAGCAGGCTGGCCAATGGGAGCAGGAGTAGGAGTCCACAGAGGCGGGTTTGAAACGTGGCGGCCCCCCTGGCTCGGGTTATGTCTGGCGAGTAGTCTAATGCTCTGTTCCGATGACACTGAACACTGGAACACATCCCGCTTCCTGAGCCGCTGATGTCATCACCTAGGGAGACGATTACAGAGAGAGGGGAAACACATTTTTAATAGGAAGTTGTTTAATACTTTACTTTTTCAAAAAACAGATGAGGAGATTCCTTTTTCTCATTTTTGTTCAAGAAGGTCGTCCCGTTAATCGTTCCTTATTACATGTTTCTAAGTGGCAATCTCTTGATTGGGGACGTTTTTGACCTTCATGAATGGAATCAATGTGTGAATTAAGATGAGGTGTCATTAGTTAGAAGCCCTTGTTCTGGTTTAACATAAAGAATCAGGCAATAAAATAACCTCATCAAAAACATAACAGAATAGACAAGGTTTGTCTAAAACTGCTTTCAGTGCAATTGTAAGAAGATGACCCACTGGCATCCTGGAAGTCCACGTCGTTGCCTTCCATTGCGTTTTTCAGCCTGTTGCTCATGATTTTGAGTTGCATGATCTGCTGCCGGATAGTCATGTCTGGCTTTGTGATGTCCAGCTCCACTTCAGGGTTGTTGATCTGATTGGCCAGGCCGTCACCCATCACCTCTGGAAGGTACCTGATTTGAGGAATGGAGGGATAGGTGAACAATGTGTGGCAACAACAATAGGGCAGATTTTTAAAATAAATATGTAAGAATGTAAGGGAGAGGCTCTGTTTGTTGAAAGGTGTTTTAAGCACAGTTCTATGTCATTATTTGTTTATTTGAAAACAAATGCCTATCTCGGATTGTTGTGTTTAACACTTAGCTGTAATCCAACCACTTAAACATATGTGAGGTGTATGTGTGTGTGTTGGTGGGGGGGGGTTCAGATCAACTTCAAATTATTTTATAACTCATTTACACATAGATAAAGGAGGCTGTGGGGGTGGTGATCACTGCGAGTGTTCTGGATGTGAATCTCGGCAGGATTTAAAATCACTGTATGTGGAAGAAATGTCATGTAATACCACCTTAAAATAGATTAACATTTATTAAAACATTTTAAGAAATAGCCTATTGATTGATATTAAAATATTTTCCCAAATTGGGATCAATAAAGTATCCATCTATCTATCTATTGCATCTTTTGTTACCACACAAAGGATAGAGATGGCCTTCAACGAGAAGCGATCTGGCATGTTTAATAGCGACATTATCAGAAGCTAGTTGCTGCCTACTCTTATATTCCTGACCTCAGAAGTGTCTTTAAGTGCTGCAGGACACAGGTTTTCTGTCTGTAATGTCTTGTTGTCTATGTGCTGCATAAATTACACTTGTGAAGAACAGATTACAGACCTTGAAAGTGTATTATTACACACTCCAGTATTATGTGGAAGGATGAAAAGGAGTTGTTTATTTAAAAGCTTTGTTGCATGAGCAATGTTAACTTCAACATGGGTTAAAGGATTCTAATAAAAAATGCATAACAGCAAAGAAAAAACAACCTAAAATATTTGAATTAACTTCAGAAGAAATGGATTGTCAAAGTAAGTTTTGGTTACAAAAAAGTATTCTAATGTTGACGTGAAATTAAATGTTATTAGACCCTTTTCTTTTTTAAAGCTGATCCTAGTTGCTATTCTTTTTATTGATTTTTTACTTTCTTTTATTGATTTTTTCACAAGGTAAAATTACACACAAACAAATATTACATTTCAGAGAGAACAGTGCCTGTACGGAGACAATCTACATAGTAATCAAATGTTGCTTGGTTTTTTATGACTCCTTTGTTATGTACCTTAACCATTTTTCCCAGCCCTTAAGAAATGTGTCTTCCATTACTTTCAACTTGTATGTGATTTTCTCCATTATTAGGATATTACCAATAATATTAACCCATTGTCTGTAGCTTGGTGTTTCCGCCTTTAGCCAGTTTTTAGTGATAGCCTTCTTTCCAGCAGCTAGGAGGATCTTGATCAGGTATTGATCTCCGACATGTACAGATCCTTCCATATGTCCCAGGTATAATACTAAACAGGTTTGAGGGATTCTATAGCCTAATACCTTGCATATAACAGAGTGTACACAGTCCCAGAAAGGTTGAATGTTACTGCAGCTCCAAAACACATCTGTATGGTGAGGTTCCAGATGTTTACAAAGTCTCCAGCATGATTGTTGAGTGTTTGTTTGTTTACTATTGATTTTGGGTGTGTAAAAGAAACAAATTAGGTTTTTCCACAGAAATGCTCTCCATCCGTGTGACTGTTTAGTGGTCTGGTGCATTTTCCACATATCATACCACATCTCATCTGAGATTCTTTCGTTTAGTTCTTTTTCCCATTTAGTTTTTACATAGAGTGTTGAATCTTTTTTGGCTTCCATCGAGCACGAATACAGGGTAGACACAACTTTGGGAATATCATCATGGTAAGCTCGTGCAATAATCTTTACAATAGGTTGTATGTCATCTTCATTTTTCTTAACCTTTTTTGTATAGTAGTCCCTCATTTGCATATATCTGAATAAGTCTTTGTTTTCTAGGTCAAAAATGTTTTTCAGGTCTTGGAAGCTTCTCATTTCTCCCTTCTGGATAACCGTGCATATGGCTGTTAAACCATTTTCTGTCCATTGCTTGGATGTCATAGCTTCCTGGTTTGAATCCTTTGTCATAGGCTATCCCGTCTAATAGTCCATGTTCCCTTCCCAATTTCAATTGTTTAATAATAGAATACCATTTTTCTAGTGTAAATGTTGTTATTGGGTCTAGGTCTCCCTTTTCTTTAATATGGGGAGGCATTTCTCTTTGCCCTATGAGTGGTTGAATTGGGGACTCATATGTAAGTATTTCGATGTCTTTCCAGCAGGCTATGTAATCGGAGTTGCACCAGTCTATGAGTTGCACCAGTAAATGAGAGGACGTAGTTGTGCTGCATGATAATATTCCTTTAGGTTTGGAAGTGCCAGTCCCCCTTTTTCTTTAGGCAATTGCAGTGTGGTATATCTTATCCTAGGTCTTTTACCCCCCCATATAAATCTTGATATAAGCTTATCCCAACTTTGGAACTGAATCTGCCGTATCTTAGTTGCTATTCTGTATCTACTTATTGTACGTTGCTTTGGTTAAAAAAACATGTAATGTGATGTTTGGACGTTGTAGGGATTTGATGGTCATTTTGAAGATTGAGGATCAGGTCAACTAGATGTCACATTTAAAGATGAAATAACTTGTGTGAGGTCAGTCAGGTCAGCAGGTTTCTTCCTCACCTGGCTTTAGTAACCCCGTTCCAGCATTTTTCCTTATTGGCGCCCCCTGCTGCCAGTTTGCTGCAGAGAGCCACAGGGAGCTGGATCCAGTACTGCCGCATCTCCCTCAGCTTACTGGACAGATCGGACACCTGAGGACAAGGAAAATATTTTTTTAATTTCTGGTTATACAATCCAAAACAAATAATATGTTTTAAATCACATTTAATATAATTTAAAAATGTAACCGGGGCAGAATAGCTATGGTACCTAAAATATATGTAAATCATTAATCAAAATCATTATAATAAAACAAGATATAGCCAGGAATGTATCTGTTTTCTATAAAAAAAAACATGATTCATAAACAAAACAAAGAAATCAGTGATTAAACTCATCTCATAATAACCCTTTCATCACTTTTCACTCATTACATCTTTATCTTTAAAACAAATCCTGCTGTGCCCTAAAATCTTTCACGTAAAATCACATTAAAACAATTTCTATGACTTTATTTTAAATCTCGTCATTCAGAGTGAGACATGTGTGTAGACATATATGATACTTGTACGCGCACAAACCTGCATCTCCAGTCTGAGCCCAGCGGTTGGAGAGGGTTTGTACTCGGATGCGGTCAGAGAGCTGCTCCTTTTCCTCTGCTCATGAACACTGGGACTTCCTGTTCCTAGTTCACCTGGGTTTCCACATGTCTGGTACACCTACACACACACACACACACACACACACACACACACACACACACACACACACACACACACACACACACACACACACACACACACACACACACACACACACACACACACACACACACACACACACACACACACACACACACACACACACACACACACACACACACACACACACACACACACACACACACACACACACACACACACACAGATTTACAGACAAACATCAACACAAGCACACAGCGAAGACTGTATACTTTAAAATCATATTCATATTCATTCATATAGCTCTAACAATTACTTTTTAGTCTGCATTGCAACATTTCCGCGATATTAAAAATGTCCACTGGAGGTCACAATAGACACATCTTTGCTTGGAGACAGAAATTAACAGACTCTAAAAACATTCCACTATAATAAAAATATGAGAATATAACACTGCTGGTATTAAAACAAGGTCAAGAACGCTTATAGCTGCAATTACTGCTTGTCCAATAAATGTGACGTTGATATATAGTTCGGTATAATTATGGCAGCCCAGCAATTTAATAATGTTGCCCAGCAGCCTAATTTGAAGGATACATCTATAACACCAATAAATCTAGTGGTGAGAGGGTGAGCGTGTTGTTGCTGCAGCTTTGCTTCTAATATCCTCAAGGTAAGCACTCCTTGAGGATAGTAAATGTGATATTGCACACTCCTTAATTATATTTACCAAGGGAACAATCTAATAAACAGTTGAAAGGTTTCACTAATAATTCTAAGGGAACAGGATTGCAGACATAAACTAGAATGACACTGGAGAGGGAAATATAGTGAGTGATCAGACAAAGTAAGGTGTCTTACCTTGTCTGTGAATTTGTCCAGGTTTTCCTGCAGGAAGTGAACAGCCTCATATATTCGAGCAGGGATAGAGGAGAGAACCACATCGAGGCTTGGCTCCGTGCTGAAGCTAGAGGCCACCTGGATCATGGTGTCTGAATGGAGGAAATAGGAAGAGACATATTTTTGGATAAACTCAGAGGTTTTTTGGGAACAATACTAGATTAGTCTCAAGTCTCTTTGGTCACAACATAGTATAAGTCACCAAGTGCCACATAAGAAGGACTCTGCACTGTACCAGTGGTTATTGCACAAGGCCTTATTGGGGACCTGGTGATTATTTTGGAACAGGTGGTGGTGGCCTCGGTGCACCCGGTAGGCATACGTTTTTTTTTCCATAGGGTAAGCACGAGGCAAGCAATAGACAAGAAAACGGTTGAACTTTATGATCTGGGATCAATAAAATAAAATGCACAGAAACAACTTTTGCCCAGACCTAGTTTATTAACCCATGCGTAATATTCGCTGACGGGTGCCTCAGCTGCACTTTATTTTGAGTTCTATTTCTGTTTCATATTTTTATGTTTTCGGATTTCTACAAGCAGATTATATCCTATGGAAGGTATTGTGACTTTAATGTAAATCTTTCTTTAGTGTTTCTTTAAACGATCAAGTGTATTTGACATGCAGGCATTTAATGGCGGCTATTACAACGACCTGCATTGACCACATCTATACTAACAGGCCAGAGCACTGCACTAAAGTGTTGTCACTCACAGTTGGCTTTAGTTATCATAACTTAGTTGCTATAGTACGCAAGAGCAAAATACCTAAGGCTGGCTCCAAGATCAATTATAGAAGGTCTTATAAGGGGTTTAATCAGGAACAATTTGTAGAGGAGGTAAATAATGTGCAATGGTTTGATGTTTGCCATGAGGAAAACCCAGAAAAAGCACTGGGAGTATTTATGAAGTCTTGCCGATCAGCATGTTCCTATGAGAAAATGGTCTACCCGGTCAAAGTGTGCACTTTGGTTGAATGACGAGATGAGAAGTTTAATGGTCCAACGAGATGATGCTAAAAAAACTGCAGACAGAACAGGTTCTCTATGTGACAAACAACATTACTGTGTAAACTAAGAAATGCGGTAACCAAATTGAATAAATGTAGAAAGAGGGAATACTACATGCAGGAAATCAGTGATTCTAAGAATGATGGAAAGAAATTATGGAAAATATTGAATAACATAATGGGGAGGAACTCAAACATGCATCCTTCCTTTATAGAAACCGAGGGTAAAGCCAGCAGATATTGCAAATCATTTTAATGATTATTTTACAAATAAAGTAGACAAGCTCAGGAATGCCATGGGTGCAGTCGAGGACACAGTGTCACATCACATCATTAAAGATCGTATCATGAGGGAAAAGCAGTGCATGTTTGAATTCCACAATGTTACAGAAGAATATGTTGAAAATATGCTTTTACATCTGTCCGATGATAAATCTCCTGGGATTGACGACTTGGATGGTAAACTGCTCAAAATGACGGCCAAATACATATCCAAGCCATTGAGTCACATTTTTAATAAAAGTTTAGAGCAAGGCGTGTGCCCCGAGATCTGGAAGGAAGCCAAGGTCATCCCATTACCCAAGGATAAAAGAAAAACCTTTGCTGGTTCCAATATTCGACCTATAAGTCTCCTCCCAGTGTTAAGTAAATTAATAGAAAAGATAGTATACACCCAAATTCAATAATACTTTTCAAGTAACAATCTGACAACGAACTACCAACATGCCTATAGAGATGGTCACTCTACAAGTACAGCACTTGCACAAATGACCGACGACTGGTTAAAGAGCATGGATGATAGGAGGCTTGTAGGAGCTGTCATGTTAGACTTTAGCGCAGCTTTTGATGTAATCGATCACAGTCTGCTGCTGAACAAACTCAAATGCTATGGCTTTGGTTCTGTTGCTATGTGTTGGATGGAGAGCTACCTGACTAGGAGAAGGCAGCGAGTCTTTTTCAATGGGAGCTTTTCTGAAAGTAAGGTGTTGCAGTGTGGGGTCCCACAGGGGAGTTCGCTTGGGCCTTTGTTGTATTCTATATTCACAAATGACCTTCCTTACGTATTAAATAAGTCCAGTGTAATAATGTATGCTGATGATTCCACAATGTACAGTACAGCATCAACATGCAGTGAGTTAAACAATCTACTTAAAATAGAGATCAAAGCCATAGCAGACTGGGACAACAATAACAAACTGGTACTCAACATTGCTGTTCGGATCCAGACATATGTTAAGCAGCAATCCTCAATTAAGCCTGACACTGGCTGGTCAGCCAGTGGAACAGGTAAACGAGACTAAGTTGCTTGGCATTGTTCTTGATTCTGGTTTACAGTGGACAAAGCAAATAGACAGTATCGTAACTAAAATGGGAAGGAGCATAGCTGTGACGAGAAAACGTACAAAGTATGTAACACCAACCACTTTGAAACAAGTCATTCAGTCTCTGGTTTTGTCACATCTTGAGTACTGTCCGGTCATATGGTCATCAGCAGCAAAAACACATATACAGAAATTACAAATAGCTCAAAACAAGGCTGCCAGACTAGCTCTCCACTGTTCGAAGCGCACTCATATTGGAGTTATGCATAGAAACCTATCATGGCTTCCGGTTGAGAAACGTCTGCAATCTCGTGTTATCACTTTTCTAAAAAATGTCCAATTTAGCAAAAAACCACTGTATTTTTATGATCAAATAGTTTACACAAGAGACGAGCATGACCATAGGACTAGACAAGCTACATCAGGCCATCTACTGGCACCTAAACCCAGGACCAATCTTCTGAAACCTTCTGTGACTTATAGAGCTATAAAGGAATGGAACTCATTGCCAAACTACCTTGCTGAAATAGAGTCCAGAGCCTCTTTCAAGAAGAGATTGAAGGGCCATCTACTAATGACCATGTACCCTTGTGAGCTGTGAACCCTAATTTAATTTGATCTCATGCTTTGTACTGGTGGGTGTCTTGTGCACTCATCCTTGGCTGAGATTGATGTTGTAAGTGGATGAGATTGTTGATGATGTTGTTAATGTTGTTAATGATGTCAGGATTTATGTCTTGAATGTTTTTGTATTATTGTTGTATTATTGTTGTATTGTTTTAAGTGTCGGACCCCAGGAAGAGTAGCTTTTGTCAAGAGCAAAAGCTAATGGGGATCCTTAATAAACATAAACATAAAATGGCGCATTTCCACTGCAGCGTGTAGCACGGTTTAAGCGTGCCGTGCCAAACCCGGCCCGTTTTTTGTTGCGTTTCCACTAGGGGTAGTTCCGGCTAACAGATACTGTTTCACAGTTTTCTGGCCCTCCAAAATCCAGGTTCTTTCCGGGCCAACAACCGGGCTGAGTATGCTAAACTAGTGAGAGAATCGCTGGCAAGGGGGCTACAACTACAACACAATGAACATATTTTACCGTGATTTAATTGTAATACACGTTTCAAAATGATGCCGAAGTAACAACATACTGATACCGGTTAGTATAAACCATGAATTAATGCTTTGACAAGTCTGCAGACAGACGGCAGGCGAAAAACCTTTTAAAATGCGTGTTTTCTGAATGGAGATCGGCTAAGCTAACGTTGTATATGCTCCGACCGTCCACACTCACAACAACGGCCTATACAGACATAAATAAACCAGCGACTGTATTCGCCATGACACAGACAGTCTGTGGTTTGTACTTGTTTAACTTTTGTCTAGTTTCTGAACAGATATGAGGAGCTGTGAGCTCTGAGTGCTAACAGCTAACGGCTGATGTTGTTTTTCTGTGGTTCGCATTGAAGATGACGTCACGGCTCCGCCTTCACTGCGTTACTATAGTTACTGCCCCAGCTACTAAACTGTAATGGAAACGCAGCATAAAGTGAGCCTGGCCTACCAAGGCCTAACTATACCGTACTAAGCCGTGCGAGGCCCTGCAGTGGAAATGCGCCATAAGCAGAGGGCAAATATTTGTAGCTGGAAAAAAGGGAAGGCATGAACATTGTTCAAATCTTATTAAAATATATCATGCAGGGATGTGATAAATAAAATAAAACATGATTCAAATGATTCAATCCAATGGCCCAAAATGACTACCAATGTCTCTTCAAAGACATCAAACTCCATTGAAAAAAACTGTAATTTTAGCACGCAGAACACAGGAGTTGCTGCCAGGATAGTTGGTTATGTTGTGTAATTGTGTGAATTCAAACTAACCAAACTTTTATTGGCATGCTGTCACACTGACTATAGATAAGTAACTCATACAACCCCACTTCACACATCCAAACCACCCCTTCCATCTCTGAGTCTCACCTATAAGGTTCTGCCACTCCGGGTCCAGGTCAGCTTGGTTGGCCAGGCAGCCCTTCATGACGTTGGAGCAGTAGTTGGAGCAGGGTTTGAGGGAGGCCGTGCCGCGGCAGTGGGGGCAGTACACCAGCTTCATCAGGGCCTTCGTACACTCTGGACTCAGATGAACCTGGAGAGGTTAGAAAAAAAAATATTAGTATCATCAGAGTCAGTAGTGAAAGAAGGGCATTTAATACTGCAAGAGTATGCTTTACTACAGTCCCGATTCTTCTTCTATCCCTTTAATGCACTGTTGATATGCACAGTAGTACATTGTGGTTGTTTAGCTCTTTCCTTCCCCTTTCCATTGGAGACTTTTCTCCATGAGGGACATGTACACCAGTATTAACAGCTTAAGGAACATGATGAACAGTAGAGGGCAGTATTGTAAAATTATATGAGACACAAGAGAACAGAAAAGCTGTGATGGCCTTCCTTATCTTTATACAGTCCAGGGTTTCTGTTACACTGTCAGCTTCTGAGTCGTGAAAGGTGTCCAGTTCCACAGTGGAGTTTTTTTTAACAACTATCCTGCAGAGATGTTATACGGACACCTCTAAGAAGGGGGGCAGGTAGTAGAGGTATTACACCAGTATGATAGCAAGATGGAAGATCCAGTTTTGCTTACAAAAGCATGCTATGCAGTTTTTCATATTTGAAGGCATATTCCGACCAGCCTTCATGCATTTATTTCAGTGCAGTTTGAAAATCAGTCCACCGACTAGAGTTTTATGTAATCCATCACTGTCGACATCAAGTCTGCATTAATTTGTGTCATGATGTTACATCACGGTTGTGCTGAAGTAAAAAGTCTGCCCTCATGACAATGGTGTAGCTATTATCAAGCAGATTTAAATAGAATCGTATTTATGCCTGGTACTGTAAGGATATTCACATTTATACATGGTAGAACAAACACCCAGTCACATCAGTCACTTGTCTCTGAATGTTGGGAAATAACTGGATTGAGAGCAAGATAAACATCCTCACACCCATTTTTGACAGCAAACTGTAGTCGTCAAAATGATAGCTTTGTTCTGATGGCAACGTCTGGAGCTTAATTTTCTGATTACCTTCTTTTTTTTTTTTATTTAGGGTGGAGACATTTTTATCTGACAGTTTGGGTGTGACAAACATTCATCCATCATATCTGATTTCCTAGGAAGCAGCCATAGCAGTTCTTTGAAACAGACACGATTTTCTGTAAATAATACACAAACTCTCTCTCACATCAAGAACTCATCCTGTCTCTCTCGGTCTGACTCACTCTTTCTCTGTTTACGTCTTATGTACACATACCCACCCACATGCACACACACACACACACACACACACACACACACACACACACACACACACACATACACACACACACACACACACACACACACACACACACAACACACACACACACACACACACACACACACACACACACACACACACACACACACACACACACAGACTCTCACCTGGGAGACCTTCCTGACCACCTCTCCGCTGATGATCAGCCCCTGGACAAACGACCTGGCTGTGACAAAAGCACGGATCAGCTTCGCCTTCATGTCCCGCGGGACGTCACCAAATGGCCGCAGCGTCTCCTGTTGCTTAGCAACACATTCAAGATAGTCGTCTGACAGGGTGACCTGCGAGAGGTGACAGGGAGGGAAAATGAAGAAGATGTTATTAGTTATTTTGTTTTTGCCTGCTACAAAGGTCACCGGCCAGGAACATTGTGATTACACTAAGCCTTGTAGTTTAACAAAGTATGGCACCATAAGAGATTCAGAAATGCATCTACTCCATGCCACTGGTTATCCATTTAAAAATAATAAAATATGAGAATTCAAGACAGGTGATGGGTCTAAAAATTTTACTTTTGGAAAATTATTTTCCTTATGAGTCAGAAATAAAGCAGGAACTGAAGAGAGGGAGAACCGTTAGCAGCTGAATGAATCAGGAGAACTAGTTCACCAAATCCTTTAATCGTGTCGATTAACATTTCAAGCACTCCCATTTGAATATAATTTGGTCTATTTCACATGATAGTTATCATGGTTTTATTAAATATCCAAAACAGAGGCCATAATGTGAACTCGTATTTAGAAGGTCACTCTGGTTTCTGCTTTACTATTTAAATTATTATCTTTTCATCATCCTCTGCATCAGTCCCTTTTTCATAATGTGGCATAATGTCTTCTACTTTCACTTCTTCACTCACATCTGTAGGAGCAGAGATTTTAAAGGTGCGCTCCAGGAGTTGGGACCAGAACTCAGTGAGGGTCTCGTCCAGGTTGAGAGCGGAGCCCCTGTAGTACTGTCGCAGGTTGGTGTAGAGCTCTGCGTAGAGACGCGTGTTCTGGGAGTACAGGGGGCCGAGAGGAGACAGCACCTCCTGCAGGGAGCGCTCAGAGCGGCCGTGCAGCTCAGTGAAGTAGGCTGGAGGAGGCGAGAAGAGAGAGAGGGACAAAGGAAAGACAGAAGGAGAAGAGAAATAAGGAGAGGAGAAGAAAACAACAACAACAGAGATGAGGAAAGGGGTTGTTTCTTCACAGTATTTATTGGATTTATTTGTTCTGTCTACCTGACTGTTGTAGGTCAAGCATTCACTCTGTTTAACTCAGTGTTTGCCTTCACAAACTCCTACACCTGGTGAATCCTGTATATATTGGTGCTAGGTGTGTAGCGTACAGTGGGTTTATCACACTGTTTCCTCTGTAAACATCACTAAGAAAGTGGAGAGACAGTGAAGTTGTTTGCCGTAAAACTAAAACTCTCTGTACAGCTGAGAGTCGGATGATTATTCTCTGTGAGTTTTACTTTACACACACTGATTTGATTAATTGTTAAGGAAAAAATATGGATTAATGCAGTATCATTTTATTTTGTAGAAATGTATCCAATAACTAGCAATTTCAATTCTTATGGAGGATAATTAATCCAATCCAATCCAACCCAACTTTATTTATATAGCACATTTAAATACAACAGAGTTGACCAAAGGGCTGTACATCAATAAATATATAAAAAGCAGCATAAATACATTTGGACAAAACCAAAAGGAGAAAAAACAAATGTAAACACACGAGACAATAAAACCATACTTATAACCACAGACTGAAAAACTCCCATACACTATGTAAAAACAATATAAAACACGAGAAAATAATTAATGCCATTTAATGTACCAGATTTAAATATTTAACCCATTTATTTTACATTTAAAGGTTTCCCAGACATGTCTCTTCGCAGCCAGGTGGATAGAGAGCGATAAAGAGGTCAAACTGAAAGAATAAGAGAGTCAGCTCGCTGTCTCTGCAGTAAATAGGTCTGGGCTTTTCCCCCCCGTGCTTCAAAGGCTGTGGACCGGTGCCAGCCTGTTCTAACCACAACCAGATGGGCGGACACATTACTGCTACTGAGGTGGCCCGCTGCCTCCAGACTAATAATACTGTCCTCCTCCGCTGACAAGTCCTCCTGCTTCTCTTTTTTCTGCTTTTATTTTTCATTTTTTATTTTAAAAGACTCTACTAATGACACATTTCTCACTTGCTGCATTCGTCTGTCTATCTGTTGTTAGTGGTCACACTCAGTCTTTCCTTCTCTTTCCTCCTCCATCCATCACTCTCTTCCTCTGATGTGCAGCGATCTGCAGCCTCGGCTCCTCAGTGGGTCAACTGCTCATTAGCTGAACCAGCCACTGCCCCGGGGGACACCCCTCTGTGTGTGTGTGTGTGTGTGTGTGTGTGTGTGTGTGTGTGTGTGTGTGTGTGTGTGTGTGTGTGTGTGTGTGTGTGTGTGTGTGTGTGTGTGTGTGTGTGTGTGTGTGTGTGTGTGTGTGTGTGTGTGTGTGTGTGTGTGTGTGTGTGTGCCCCTTTGAGACCAGGGCATCAGCTTATCACGTTTCATTGTGTCTGGCTGACTCTGCTCTCATTATAACACCCAGTCAGGGGTCCCCTTGACGCACAGGACACATCCTCCCACACACACACACACACACTCACACACCCCATCATTATTGAAGCGGCAGGATTGAGCGCGAAGCACAGTCGGAGCTTGCACCAAACACAAATTTACAAATACAAAACATAGTAATGTCATACTCCTCTGGGCACACTGGTGAAGCTTTGGTATTGAGCTCAGCTGGTAATGAGCATCTATCATTCGAAAAAACACACACACACCCTACTTACTGTCAAAACTCCTGTGGAGAGCATTGAAGGCGGACTGCAGCGACCTGCCGGCCTCTCTGATCAGCCCCTCTGTTTCTCTGCTGCTGAGACCCGCCAGGTTCTCCTCCATGGTGGTGGTACAACAAGTCGGACCCTGAGGGCACATCCTCAGATGTTCACCTGGAAACATGGGGAGAAGACACAGTCAGAGTTAATTTACCTAATTGTTTTATTACATAATTCAATCACTGCATAATTCCGTTTTTTCCCATGCACATTAGCCACTAAATCAACAGCAGTGTCAAATAAATTGAAGTTAAAGACCAAGTAATTGCAAATGTAGCTTTTATTAACAACACTAGTGGAATGGCTTTATGTATCTATGGCGATGTCAGTCGATCACTCAATTTGTTCAAGACTAAACAATCTCAAAAACTATTGGATGGACTGCCATTCAATTCTGTTTATTGATCCCGTGACTTTTTGTCTAGCGCCAAGATGACATTTGTGGCTTTCAGAGAAATGTCTCAAATATCGAATTGATTGCCATGACATTTTTTTGTCAACATCAGGATGAATTCTAATAAAGTGTCCAATATTTTGGGCCATTACTGAATAAAGTTTACAGATAATTGAATGATCTACATTTGAAGTGCTGTAGAGCCCAACATGTAGTTACCATCCATCCCTTAAAATAATGTCTACTTATAACCTCTGTTGACATGTTTCAGGTCTACCCGTTGTAACCAGTTGAGCCAAAGAGGAATTGTTGTTTTGTTTGAAGTCAAATTGTCGAATCTATCAATAATTGAGCACTTACTGTAAGAACCAGTTTGTAGTAAATTCAGTACTTTAACTGTGGTTACTTGTGTGAATTGATTTTCTAAAATGTGTTTAATTTTGACTAATTAAAATTGAATGCAGGACTAGAGTGTTTTTCCAACGTGCTTTCACTGTTGCTACAGTAAAGGTTTTCAGTGGCTCTCACACCACAGCATCAATCATTAATGGGAAATCTTTTTATATTTAGTTACCGACCAAAAAAGCACTCTGTACAATAAATACAGTACACTTGATCTATACATAGCAACCGTTTGTTGTTCAGCAGTTCCTCTGTTCCATACCGACTGTTTGTTCTGTAGCCACATGTACCTTTACATTGGGATAGTAGGAATACTGGGAATCACTGACAAACAGATTCAAATCAACTGTTTTCATGTTTCAATAATACGTTTAAGTATGCAATTAAAGCCTATGGGAGCCTGACAGAGGTGTTTTAGATAGATTTTATAGATCAAGTGGCAATACCACATTATATAAATACTGTTTATTAAAAGTAAAATTCCTACTAATATTGTATTATTACAGATTAATTAGCTATAATCTGTAATACAAAATAAAAGTAATTGGTTTGGTTCAGTGTTGTGTAATGTTTAGTTTTTAAGCTTGTGGGTTGTTTTTCTTAAACAATCCATCACATTATATAAATTAATGTTTTAAATGTAAAATCTGAAACCGAAATATCCCCGTCATTTAAACTGTGATTTTAGCCTAAAATCTATATTTTAAGACGTCGAACAGGAGGCTAAAAACATGCTCACCTTCAGCTTTTAATCTATTCTTATGCGTTTACTCTCATGAGGAGAGAATACATAAACATATTTTTCACACATACACACACCCACACAGAGACATGGACACACACACATTTGACTTGACTCACACATACTTAGAGAGCAGTCTGCAGAATCAGTCTCTTGACAGACGGGATGTGTGTGTGTGTGTGTGTGTGTGTGTGTGTGTGTGTGTGTGTGTGTGTGTGTGTGTGTGTGTGTGTGTGTGTGTGTGTGTGTGTGTGTGTGTGTGTGTGTGTGTGTGTGTGTATGTGGGTTGGGGGGCAGAATTTGTTCACCAGGGTAAGTGGAGCAGAAGAGGAGACACCTTAATCATCCCTCTTCCATGAATCTTTCATTGCCACTGGCTGGTGTGTGTGTGTGTGTGTGTGTGTGTGTGTGTGTGTGTGTGTGTGTGTGTGTGTGTGTGTGTGTGTGTGTATGTGCGTGCGTGTGTGTGTGTGTGTATTTGACACAGAGACCGGCAGCCATAAAACGGGAAATAGCAGTTTATGTTCCTCCTTTCTTTTTTCCTACATCCCTTTTCTGGGAAATGTTAAGATTCCTTTTTTTCTTTAATATAAGAAAAGGTGAAGCTGGATTTGAACACACACACACACACACACACACACACACACACACACACACACACACACACACACACACACACACACACACACACACACACACACACACACACACACACACAGATCAACGACAAAACTTGTTATAATATTCTCGTCTCTTAAAGGTCCCATGACATGCTTTTCTGGTTATTACCCATCCCCTTGTGTCTTATGAAGGTTTTTCTGCATGTAAACGGTCTGCAAAGTCACAAACCCTCAAAGTACACCCTGTAGCGAGTAAAACTCTAACACACAGAAAATACGTGTCTATGCTGCCCCAGAACGCCTCGTTGGAGATTTCTCTTTTTCTTCCTGGGTACAGTGACGTGCCCATACCCAAATGGACCCATTGGTCCAAATGGACCAATCCGAGGAGTCGTTACGTTACGTCAGCAGAGCCGTTACGTTAAGTCCGTGGATTGGTCCAAATGGACCAATCCGCGGACTTCCTCACACACATACTCAATCTTTTCTCAGCTGCAGCTCCGCCGATTTCTCCTCCCTGAGACGGCGGGACGCGGCGAGGCTGTGAGTCGGTGTGTGAGCACACACACAAACTCCCAGCCAGGCTGCGGGTGTGTGTGTGTGTGTGTGTGTGTTCGGGCTGGTTTCGGGCTGGGTTTCGCTGTGTCTCGCTGTCTCACAGACGGCCACTGGGCTCATAGGGAGGGGGGGGGCAGGAGCTCCAACAAGCCGTTTAGGACAGAGAGTGAATACACATACTATACAGAGATGCTGTATGAGAAACCAATGTGATTTTGGAAAATTGCACAATATAAATCTATTTTAGTAGACCTCAACAATGGAATTATGATCAGTAGAAATGGCCATGACATGGGACCTTTAAGAAATCTTCAAGTGTCAAGAATAATAGATAGTTTTATTCTGAGACACTAAAACACTTCACTCTTCTGAATCCAAAATATATCAGACAACATCACTTCCTGCTAATCAAACCTGTTTTCTACTGAACTGTGTGCGTCCTGTCAAGTTGGAAAAAGCTTTTCAAAATGTAACACCTCATACACTTTACCTGTGAATTTTCACACAACTCCTACCATCCTTTCAAAAATAATTCCCAGAAAGCACTACTGCATCACCTGCACCTCTTTGTATTCATCAGTGATTGCTCATGTAACCATCAGAGGAAAATATTTTGTTTGTAAAACTGTGTGTACGCTATTGAAAATGAAAAGCACCAATTAAACAATTAAATAACCCCACAATGGGTTCAGTGATTTTCACATAACTCAGACCACAGATAAGTTTAAGGTTGATTTGGAATTAACTTTTAAAAAGAACAAACAAATCAGTGTATTCTGTATATATTTTGTACTTCTTTAGTGAAAACTGTATTCAGCAAGACTATTTTCACTGGTTCTTCTGCAGTGATAACATTGGCGTTCTCCATAAAGTGTGAAATTATTGAATGAGTGAATCTGATTTTGAATTGAGTCACAGAATACAAAAAAATATGTTGGTGCATTGTTAAATGATGTCATTGGAGGGTATAAGGTGGTAAGACAACAGTGAGGGCAGTGTGCACATGTTATAGTTGTATATATATTTGAAGATTTGGTTTAATAATATAATAACTAGCTTTGCAAGATGAAGTTGAAGTATGTTTTCAATCTCAAAATGGAGTATCAGGGTTACAGCAAATTCAAAATTAGTATACAATAAGTAATCAAAAACAACCAAAATCTTAACTCCAAACAAAAGCCATGGCACTTTTGTAGCAAACCAGTCTTAAAATGTCAACCGCTGCTGTAGAATCAAAAAATGCCTATCCAGAGGCTTCAAGCTGTCCAAAAAAAAGGTGTCAACAAAATGGCTTGATTAATGGCCGCAGCAGCATTATAGGTCATGTTTCAAATTCAAGCTTCACTTAAATCAACACCTCTGACACACTCTCCACAGAAATGGTGCACCATAAGAGGAAAAGAGGAGAGGGGAAAAGTGACATAGCAGAGATGTGAGCTATCAATCAAAGTAATTTAGCTTCACCATGTCACCGCTCTGAAAACGTCTGAGAGCGCTACACAGTCGGGCAGAAACAGGACAGATTCCTCTGAGGCGGTTTAATCCAGACCATCAGAGCTACACATGTGGGTCAGAGACAGCAGACTGCATCTTTGAGCCCACATTTGCTGCAGCTAATGTTAGCATTTAGTTGTTGGTTAGCTTACCAACCTAGACGTCGCAGGGCGTTTACCACAGACACTTACGCTTTACTGCATTCCTGGGTTGCTGGGTAATGGAAGCAGCTGGCATCCTGCTATAAAAACTGAATTCACTTGGAAAAGACAGAACTTAGCACAGTAGTGCCACACAAACACATGTTCAAAAAGTCCGCTTGCCAACATGCTAATACATGCAAGCAGAGACAGGCAGTTGAAAGGACTAGATCTGGGAATAAACGCCTTGCTCAAGGGCTTTGGGATGGGAAATGGAAAGCCTTTGGGCATCTGTCTGCTCATAAAGAGTGACTGAATGAGACTATAAACATGGTGGACCATCTTTTAAGGCAAGACAATTTGAAGTGCTGCTGGGAAAACAGGAGAAGAGATAAGAGATTTGGGTCGGACCAGTTTCTAGGAGATTTGGTAGCTTGCATTGCTTTTTTTCTCAACCTTTAGCATTAATTTGTAAAGCTGCCACACACACTTCATTGACATTATACATTCCCAAGTATCACAGCTTCACAGATTCAGATCGGAAATGCAAGATGCTACAGTAAAAGTATTGGAAACTAAGCTCAATAGTTGCCTTGAGAAGACAGGTATTCTCGGTTAAAATATGTTGACTTGCATCACAACTAACTTTTGAAATACATCCCTCACCCTAAAAAAACAAGTTGTAACGGCTCAGAGTCAAAGGCGATGTGAAAGGCTTGTGATCATTCAAAGATGGAAAATGTATCCTAAAATATGTTAATGGT